CAAAATTGCTCTGAAATCAAACAGTTAAAAATGTAGACTTTGGTTCTATGAATTTATCAATACACTTAAACTAAATGTCTAATTTTACATCAAAGTAATTGGAAACGTTTGTCTCATGGTAGGCTGTGTATATGGAACATGAAGCAAAAGACCTCACAAATTATAAATTTTCAGAATTTAAAGCAGAACGCCTGGCAAAAATGTTGAGTGCTTGTTTTATTCTAGGTGCTAGAATAAAAGTTATACTCACCTGAACTGTGGAGTCAGCTACCTGCTGCTCCAGTACCTGAAGCCTTGTTATGTCCTTCGGCTTCCTCACATTCCATACGCTGTGTATAGAACGTGATGACTCGAGGCTCCAGGAACCGGTCTAAGAGCAAGCCAGCTCGGTGGAGTATAAATTGTATTTATTACGCACCTAGACAAAAATTAGCACATAACCCTTGCAGTGGGGGGCTAGCCCCACTGCAAGGGTTAAGAACATTTTTGCCTAGAGCTTATTTATCCGCCTCCCGGCCGGCCGTTATGTAGAGCCAGCCGCTCGGGAGCTTCCTCAATATAACAGGCCGTCAAAAGAACGGTTATTAGCCCTCACTCACGCGTGCCGCTGGAAACTGCCTGGATTTAAAACAGGCAGCGATGCCTGTTTACATACAAGCGATCTGCATGCGCAGGAGTTAAATAATTTTAATTATAGAGCTGGCGGATCGCTTGCATGACGTGCCAGTGTGTGCGGCCCCCCTTCCCGATGCTCCCGAGCTCCGTTGTGCCCAGCGCGAGCCCAGGACCAGCATGGGGGCTCTGTGACAGGGAATCAGAGGGAGATTGGTATGCAATTTAATTTTTACTATATTTAGGAAAAATTACTGAATTTTTTTTTTACATTGTTATAATACATTTACTATTACCCAATTGTTTAGTAAAATATAAAAGATGGGTTCACGTCGGGTAAATAGACGCCAAACATGTCAAGCCTTAAAATTGTGCGCACCCGCAAAATCACAAAAAAACTACCTTACCCAAAATTGACCATAGGCGACGCTTTCAAAGCTTTTACTGCTCATCAGATTAGTGTTATCAGTGATTGATGGCGCTAAAATTATTGCTCTCACTGCGACTTTGCGGCGATATGTAACATGTGCGGCGTACTGGGCGCAACTGTCATTTTCGCACGTATGTGGCTACGGGAACGGGTCCAAAGGGTATCTGTAAATGGCACCTTTTCAGACTGTGATGAGCGGTGTGCCTCAGGGTTCTGTGCTGGGTCCCATATTGTTCAACTTATTTATTAATGACATCGGGGAGGGTGTTAACAGTGATATCTCCGTGTTTGTGGATGACACCAAAAGTGGGAGGGTAATAGAAACAGACTTAGACATTATAACATTACAGGAGGACCTGGATAAAATAGGGGAGTGGGCAACTACATGGCAGATGAGGTTTAATGTCGACACCCAATGCATGTTTGCATGCGTGTATGTATGGGTGGAAAATGTAAAAAAAATTCTTCTTTTGATTTTTCTCAAAATAAATGATACTTGAAAAAATGTATATAATGTGAAAGAGATTAAATTAAAGGAGAACTATTAGAGGAGAGACTATTGTTGGACTTTGAATAGAATGCTATTGCTCTATTTTGTTCATGAGGTCTATACAAATTGTCATGTTTTTTATACTATAGCACCTATATATACTGACATACGGACATCTTGCACACTGTACCAACACTGACATATGGACATCTCAGACACTTTAACACTGACACACTGATGTGAACTGTGACACTGACATCTCACACCCTGTACTAGCACTGACATGTCACTCACTGTACCAGCACTCACGCACTGACTTCTCACAAGCTGTGCCAGCACTAACACACTGACATCTCACACCTTGTACCAGCGCTGACACACTGACATCTACACTCTGTACCAGCACTGACACACTGACATCTACATCCTGTACCAGCACTGACACACTGACATCTACACCCTGTACCAGCACTGACACCTACACCCTGTGCCAGCCCTGACATCTCACACCAGCACTAACACAATGACAATCGTTGACACCTCAGTGATCAGTACTGATCACTACAATGTTTGTACATAATTAAGGATATAGTATTCAGATGCTGTGTCCCCAATTATGAATGAACTACACAACTTCCTGTTCATTCATGATTGTGGACACAGTATTTGTTTACTGTCTCGTCGATTTATTAATGAACAAGAAGCCTCTATACTGAGTGCCTCCTGTTCATTGAGTGCTGAGGCTGCAGAAAAAAAGGACTCTGTGTCCTCAGTCTCTTTATTTCAAAAGGGAAATATCAGGGTAGACTCATGATATTTCCCCAAAACCCCTGACAGTAAAGTTAAAAAAAATAAATGTGGAAAAAAAAATAATTGAAAAATAATTTTTAAAAATACTAAAGAGAATTATTTTAAAAAAAAACATAAAAAAGGTGGGAAAAAAGTCATTTTCGGTTTTGGTCTGACAAATTCTGGTGCGTTCCAGTGCCATTCATTTCTTTGGCACCCGAAACTCACCTCCTGCCCACAGTACGATCGCTACACCTGAACGCATGGTACCGCAATGTCGTGCAATCCAGTGTGGTGCAATTGAAAAGAATGGTGCATGCTAAATTTGAAATTGCTCCAGAAAAAGTAATTGCCCTTGTACACGACAATGGTGCTAAAATTGCGGCTGCTGCAAGCATCCTAAAGGAGAAGCATGGGTGGACCAGTATCCGCTGCCCTGACACACCTTGCAGCAGAACTGCTCTGTTAAGGTGGCCATACACTTTACAACCCTCGCAAGACTTCTGTCTTGCGAGGGTTGTAAAGTAATTTTAAATAGTACGATCTGCCCATCTTGGACAGGCAGATCATACTTGCGATCATCGTCATTCTGATGACTGCAAACGGGCAGCGTGCGCACAGAGGCCCGTTTGGAAGTTGTTGAACAAGCAGGCCACTAACTCGCCGAGAATCATACGATTCCCGGCGGGTTTTCCAGCCTGCTTGTTTGACGGAAGACGTGCGACCGTAGAACCGGCCGCACGCCCTCCATACACTTTGCGATTATCTTACGATCGCGGGATTTCCCGCGATTATCGTACGATAATTGTGCAGTGTATGGGCACCTTTAGAGTAACCAGGGATTGAATGAACTGTTGGGGCTGCAAGGTGTGTTTTTGAACATGTTTAACAAAAGTGAGCTGGCCAGCAGCATGTTAAAAGAAAAACAATACAGATAGGAACAGCGGAGCACAAACTTGTAGAGCATGTAAGCACATATTACATTAAGTACATATTACATGGTTAACAGACTCTTTGGGCAAAGGTGGCTTATAACTGCAACCCTGTCAGATCCAGCCATAACACACAGGGCTAAACACTACCTGGACTTTATTTATTACAGGTATTTATATAGCGCAGACAATTTACTCAGCGCTTTACATAGTTGCACGTTCACATCAGTCCCTGCCCTCAAGGAGCTTACAATCTAAGGACTTGAAACCGGACCAGTGGAGACTTCTCAAATACAGGGTGCCACTGTATTATGAGTGGTCAAGAATACCCCATAATCTCTTCAGTGCCTGCATTGGTGAAGGGGCTGTTGAGATCCAATAAGACTTCTGTTTTTGAATACTCTTCATTGAAGTGTTTCCAAGTAACAGCAACAGAAAAGCTTCAACGCCAATGGAAGGGGAGTCTGTTTGAACAGGTCCCAAACACAGTGGTCCTTTCCTCTGCCATGTATCTGAGATTTATAAGGCTGAAGCTTTTAACAGCAGAACAAATGATTATTATACAGGCAAAAGTGAAGACAGAAGTGCTTGCAATTGGAAGAGAAATGCTGCAGACTCAAGCTGCCGCCTCAACTGCAACTACAGTTGCTAAATCTTCGTTATCTGTTGCTCTTATTGACACACTCCTAAAGTCTCGAGGCAACAGGAGGACAACATCAATAGTCAAGTGAGAAAATGAAGTGCAGGCTTTCTTTGTGGAGAGGCCACTTGCCAAGGAGGAAAACCCTTTGAGTTGGTGGAGGAGTAACAAAGATCAATATCCCACCTTAGCCAAATTGGCAAAATCTTAAGGTGCCCATACACAGTAGGATTCTCGTACGAGAATCGCGGGAAATCCTGCGATCATACGAGAATCGTACAGTGTATGGAAGGCGTGCGACCGTTTCTACTGTACGGTCGCACGTCTTCTGTCGAACAAGCAGGCTTGAAACCCCGCCGAGAATCGTACGATTCTCGGCGGGTTAGTGGCCTGCTTGTTCGACAACTGCCGAACGGGCCAGTGTGCCCGTTTGCAGTGATCGAAAGCCCGCCCCTCACTGCGGTCATCGGCTTTCGATGATCGCAAGTACGATCTGCCCGTCCAAGATGGGCAGATCGTACGAGCTTTCAATGAGCTTACGACCATCGCAAGACAAAGGTCTTGCGATGGTCGTAAGGTGTATGGGCACCTTTACATGTGCATCCCAGCCACCTCAACACCATCTGAGTGCTTCTTCTCTGCTGCATGCAACATAGCCAGTTGCATAATATTAATGTAAAGTTTTATTCTGAAGTAAACTTTGTTGCAGTCCATTTGTGTATTTAATTTTTTAATCTTCGCAACAATAAATGGCCTACTAATCGATTATGAAAATAATCATTAGTTGCAGCCCTAATTTTCTTTGCTGTCCACTATATTCTTAGAATCCTTTGCCAACACCAACGTTCAAAGGCATCAATATTTTTTTCCTACTTTGCTTCTTCATTGTCTGGTTTTTACATCAGTAGAGAGTGACAGATAATACCATAGCCTACCTAGACAATGCAGTTCTGATCTTTGTACCTATAGACTCATCAGTTTACATCAATGCTTTTGAAGATATTTCCTGATTGCGTGTACTCTGTTTATAAAATTTGCATTTTGCCTAAAGTCTTGTGCAGTATTTGAACATACCACTTAATTCAGATGTCCTTATTTTTGTTACAGACTGGTGTGCCCTGGCTTGGGTCTGCTGCATTACATTGAACCTGTACCTGAATGTAGTAAAGGAGATGAGGACAGATCGATATGGGCTGTAAGTATAATGGTTCTAATGGTTTATCACCGTGAAAGCAATGATAACTATGCTTATTAGTGTCACAATAAATATAGAAGCATACTTAATCTATCCAGTTTAGAGTGTATATTAATAGTTGTTTACTGACGCTGGCAAAAAAACCCTCCCCCCAGTAGTAGAATAGAGTGCTCCCTCTGCAAGTTTCCTGTTGGGGGAACAGTAGTTCTTCCGTTTCAGAGATTTGCCAGTTTAAGTGTAAAGTTCGATCCATTCCTCAGACTTTTCCGTGTATTAAACAGCATCCCTGTTGTGAGCTGCAAGATGATTGTTTCTTTCACTGCTGGTTTTCATTTGCTTTATGGGCTAAATCTGACTAAGAATAAATAGATTTTATATTGAGAGCAACAGGATGAATGGTCTTATTCAACAGACAGTACAATGGAAAGTGATGCTGAACGTATGAGATGCTTACATTATTACAGTATGTCAACTAGACATGTGCACTGCCAAAAAATTCGTTTAGTTTCGTTTCGTTTTAAATTCGGATTTGTGTTATTTCGTTTTTCAGGATTCGGGTGTGAAAGTCAATTCGGATTCGGAATTCGGATTCGGACGAAATTCGGTAGCGGTAGTTCGAACGTTCGTTTCGTTTTCGGTTCTTATTCGTTTCCTATTCGTTTCTTATTCGTTTCGTTCGTTTGCAGCAAAAGTGACATTTGAGGGGGAAAAAATATTTTTCTCCTTCTCTAATGTCACTTTGCTCCAACGAACGAAACGAATAAGAAACGAATAAGAACAGAAAACGAAACGAACGTTCGTACGAACGCTGCCGAATTTCGGAAATGGAAATTCGGATTCGTTTGCATTCGTTATGTCTGTAATTCGGAATTCGGATACATCCGAATGTCCGAATTTCCGAAAATTCGTCCGAATTTCGATTCGGAACGAATCGCACATGTCTAATGTCAACCCTTACATAGTATGTTAATCACTGGATATAGATCACTTGCTATTATTGTGCTATGTTTGGGACATGCAAAAATTAAAGCAGAACTCCAGCTTTAATATTGTTATACACAGACATGGCCCAGAATATTGGCACCCCTGCATTTCTGTCAGATAATGCACCACTTTGCGCAGAAAATTGTTGTAATTACAAATGTTTAGGCATTCTCTTTATTTATTTTGTGTGTATTGGTATAACACAAAAAAGTGGAGAAAAAAAAAGTCAAATCTGACACATTCCATGCAAAACTCCAAAAATGGACTGGACAAATAATTGGCACCTTCTCCAAATTGCAAGAAATAATTGCATTTGAAGTTTGTGATGCTCCTGTAATTTGTAATTAAACTCACCTGTATCATGTAACAGGTGCTGACAATATAGAAATCAGACAGGCAACCTGTTAGAATTTTGAAAAATTGACTCAACCTTTCTGTTGTGTGTCACTGTGTGCCACACGGAGCATGGAGAAGAGAAAGCGCAGCAAAGAATTGTCTGAGGATTTGAGAACAAAAATTGTGAAAAATCATGGACCATCTCAAGGCTACAAGTCCATCTCCAGAGATCTGAATGTTCCTGTGTCCACCGTGCGCAACATTGTCAAGAAGTATACAGCCCATGGCACTGTATCTAATCTCCCTGGACGTGGACGAAAGAAAACAATTGTTAAAAAATTGCAACGAAGAATTGTTCGAATGGTAGATAAAGCCTTCGCTCAATTTCCAGACAAATTCAAGCTGACCTTCAGGCACAGGATACAACTGTGTCAGCTCACACTATACGCCGCCATCTGAATGAAAAGGGACGCTATGGTAGGAGACCCAGGCAGACCTCACTGCTGACATAAAAACATAGAAAAGCCAGATTGGAGTTTGCCTAAACTTACCTGAGGAAGGCAAAATCCTTTTGGGAGCATGTGCTGTGGACAGACGAAACAAAACAACAGGTTTTTCAGAAACATATATGAGGCCTTTAAAGAAAAAAAATACAGTCAAACATGGTGGAGGTTAACTGAGGTTTTGGGGTTGCTTTGCTGCTTCAGACACTGGATGTCTTGACTGTGTGCATGGCATTATGAAGTCTGAAGACTACCAAAGAATTCTGGGGTGCATTGTAGAGCCCAGTGTCAGAAAGTTGGGTCCCCGTCAGAGGTCATGGGTCTTACAGCACGACAGTGACCCAAAGTACATGTTAAGAAGCACCCAGAAATGGTTTTAGACAAAGGCTGGAGTGTACTGGACTGGCCAGCAATGAGTCCAGATCTGAATTCCATAGAGCAGGGATGGCCAAACTGCGGCCCCCCAGCTGTATTGGAACTACGAATCCCATGAGGCTTTGCAAGATTCTCACAGCCACAGACATGACCCCTGGAGAGAGATGCTTCATGGGATTTGTAGTTTCACCACAGCTGGAGGGCCGGAGTTTGGCCATCCCTGCCATAGAGCACCTGTGGAGAGATCTCAAAATAACAGTTGGGAAAAAGAACCCTTCCAATCTGAGAGACCTGGAGCAGTTGGTGAAAGAAGAGTTGTCCAAAATTGGACAAATGTAGAGAGGTGTAAGAAACTCATTGATGAATAAAGGAAGCAATTGATTTCAGTTATTTTTTCCAAGGGTTGTGCTGCCAAATATTAATTGAGGGTGCCAATAATTTTGTCCAGTCCATTTTTGGCGTTTTGCATGCAATGTGTCAGATTTGGCTTTTTTTCTCTAGTTTTTTGTGTCATAAGAATACAAATAAAAGAAATAAACATGAGAATGCCTAAATATTTGTAGTTGTAATTCTCTGATTTACTGCACAGATCTGGAAGAAATACACAAAGCACACCAAGATTCTAGTAAGAATACACATGTCTCTTGTGTTTACAAAATATTTGTTTATACCAGTGCCCAGCTTTAAAAATATATATATTTACTTTCTGACCTGCGAAAGGACTTGTCATTTTCTAAGCTATTCTTCTGATACATACACCTCTGCTTGTCAGTATTAGGAAAGAGCAAAATTGAGAGATTTTATTTCCCTAAACTGCAAAAAAAAAAACACGAGATTTCAGTGCCATTTTGGAGAATTGCATTGGAGTCAATAGAGAAGGTGAAATTAAAATCAAAACAACCATAGAAATCATAAATCATCTTTCAACAGCCATATAACACATGTATCATGATAAATGCATAGCACCATATTTGACATCTGCTCACGCTCTGCCTGTCCAGGATTTTAAACTGCTGGTCATTTACCAGCCAAGGAGCATAGGAATTTCCCATGCTCCCCGGCTCCAACTAGTGGCTATATTGTGCTGTGAATCTCATTTGCATAACTGTTCGCTATGGGAATGGTTTACAAATCACCCCCTCAGTTTGTCACCTGCCTGACTGTGCAGGATGTAAATTCTAGCCTCAGAGTACACATATATGTGTATTTAGCTATCTGCCTAGAATTGTGGTTTAATGTGTCAATGCTGTAAAAATGGGAGAAAACTAGATGCAGGTTACACACTTGTTCATATATTAGACCTGGCTCTTATTCACACTAGCAAGCTTTGTATGCTGTTTGTATGCTTTAACGCCAGTCCAAAATGATCTCATTATTGTTAAATTATTTGTTAATATGTGCATGTGAAAATTATACAAAACCTGCATAAATGCACCTTAGTCTGTTTTTTGTGCTTTTGAATGTACAGTTATGACAATTTCTTGTCTGTGAATTTTTGACCTGAAGTATCCTCAGAAAAAAACAAACACAGCTCAGTTATCTTAAATGTTTACGGTGTATTAAAATGCACGTGCGGGACATTCAGGGGTTTGTAATTGTGTCAGTATTGAGCCAACCTATAAAACAACCAAGGATAATAAAAAGCAGAATCAAAATTAAGTTCATCACTTCTGGTGGGTTCAGTCTACCACCAAATAGATACTGTATATTTCACAGACTCTGCTGGAGAGATCTCTACGACTAAGCCCACACCCAGCAGCCTGGTCTTGCCAGAAGACTTTCTTGCTTACAACACAAATATCGAGACTCCATGACTGGGAGGCTGTAAAAACACCAAGTAATATATTTCTATGGGATAGTTTTACCACTGAGGTCTCATTTGAAATGTTAATGGTTGATTCAAAATGCTATGATTTATCAACTACATTGGATACTGGTTGCCTAGATATAACTGTGGTCCTTATAAGCCTTTAACTGGCACAAATAACAAAAGCCTTCAAAGAGGGTGTGCATCCAGTCATGAATACAATCATACCCACCAGAGGAAGGATTTTGGGTACTTCTTCACTTGGTCTGAACCAACCTCATAGTGATGTAGCTTTTTAGGACATCTCCCCGCATCACTAGTACGAATGATAAATAGACTGTGTGTACAAGCATAAGGTTGTCTACGACCATCTGAGGCACTGAAAGTAAAGATCATCTGCCCATGTTCTTTGAACAGGGTCTGTTCAAAAAACAGCACACTGAAACTCATCTGCATTGCACTCGTCCACTGCTCCATTATTTTGCCAGATCCATTGAGAAATACATAGTGGTTCTGGGGGAGCATGTGACCTTCTCCCAGTATTCAGTGCTCTGGCCTGGGGGGCCATTCACCAGACCCAAACACTGTCGCATGAAGATGGTGGTCATTATCTCTGACACCATCCAACAAGGAGCTTGCACAGGGCTAGGACTTCCGGCTCTGAGAGATGGATGAAGTAGCAAGGGGTGCAGCTAAAGTTAGAATCAGCAGGTGGGAAGGTTGTTTTTTCAATAGAATATGTCGCTCTGTCCTGAATAGGTAAATTGACAGTCTCTTTTAGTGCTAAGAACAAGAGGCATCCTAAAACGTGTCCTTTTAGCCAGATAATGAATACACAATGAACAACTAACAACTGTTCATGAAACACTGAAGGTGCATTAACATGAATTAATATTACGTCCAATCTGTTCTGTTCAAGGCCTGCTCATATGCAGGACAGAACTGATCAGAACATTTAGTATTCCTGATAACTAAAGACAACTTTAATCTAAAAA